GGATGTTCTAATCTTGCTGTTGTACAAAATTCTTCTCTATCATTCCTGTCCTCACAAAGACTAAGAAGAAGAAGACTAATTAGACAGAGACTAATTAGAAAAAAACAAAACTAAAATTGTATGCAAACTTTTACTCAAAGGGTACTCACATTTTCGGTTCTGCACCGGTAGTTACAGTATGTACAGCCCATCTCTGCACTAAAGGCTGAAATCCAACAGATCCTGAATTCTAGCCTAGGCATGAAAGCCAACTGGGTGACTTTGGGCCAGTCATTCTCTCTCAGCTCAACTCACTCACAGGGTTGTTGTTGTGGGGAATATAGGAGGAAGGAGTATTATGTATGTTTGCTGCCTTGATTTATAAAAAAATAATAAACATGGATATAAATAAATGCATAAACAACCAAATACGATACTAGCACTCATTATTGTGAAGTGGTTCATTTTAACAGAAACATTGCAAAGAAACTGTGCCAGTTTAGAATGAAACAAGATTCATTCTACTCCCTGACCATTACATTCAATGGCAAAAGCAGAATTATCATATTAGGAAACTGCAAGGTAATTTTATCTGGCTTAGGGGTTAGGTGTAATTACCATTATAGTCAGATATTTAGAATATGCTATTCCCAAGGGTAACTTTAACAGGACTGTTACGCATTCACATTTCTTTCCCCAAAGCTCCAATTTTCAAGATCACACAGGGTAACACAGAAAAAAGGGAATCAACCACTGCTTCCAAAGGTCTAAAAATAGTTAACTGGTGCAATCTGCTTACTTTTCCCTTTGTGCATTTCAGTTTCCCATTACAGTCGCGGAGTTATATATACTCACAAGTCTCCCTGTTGATTTATACCTGCATTACTTAACTTCTGATCAACAGCTGCTTGTAGCGATGGGAAGAAAATTGCTTAATTTTAGTGGACTCTTCACTATTTCCATGTGGCTATTTCATGCATGATGGGTAGATGCTGTATCACCCTTCAGTGTATTTCTAAGTCTGCTTCTACTCTTCTTCCCTATCTAAAAGAAAAACTATCTTTGGTGACAAGAGCATTGCAAATGAAAAGCTCCATTCTCTGCAAGGAGCCACGTTTCAGCCCCGATGCCATAAATCCTTGTTTGAACAAACCCTGAGCCCTTTTAATCTTGCATTTCCTTTCCTGAAAGAATATGATGTTCATAAACTTTATAGCTAGTCCCAGCATCCCTCATGCACACGAAGCAAAGAAAGATACCATTTGTTTCCCTGAAAGATTTATATGACTGCTTTGCAAGGACTGCTTTGGAGGATTGCTGAAAAGATGGGAGTCACATTTTCCTGGATTGATTGGCCACTAAAATGCTCTGTTTCTTGCCAAGACTTTTGGAATAATGGGGGTGAGATGAGGTGTCTATGGCTGCACTACAGATAGTCCTTGACATATGAGCATAATTCAGCCTGGAATTACAGTCAGAAATCATTGCAGTCATAAGTTGAGGCATCACATGGCTGGATTTTTTTTTGATTTTTTTGATTTTTTGTGGCTGTTGGTAAGTGAATGCCATGGCTGTTAAGTCACAGTGGTTGTTAAGTGAACCCCACAGTCATTAAGCAACTCAAATTTCTGCAATAGGTATGTTTTTCCAGAAACTGGAAGTAAGTGCTAGAAACTGACAAAAAAGTTATAAATTGCAGTCACATGATCAAGGGAGACTGCAAATGTAAATGTGGGCTGGTTGCCAAGTGCCTAAATTACAATTTCATGACCTTGAAGGGTGAATCTGGCTGTTAAACTTTGAATCTGGGTTGTAAGTAGCATGGAGTGGTGCATGAATGGTTGCTAAACCACCAATAGCATTTTATAGCTATCTTTTCTTATTTTCTTTTAATTATGTTCTTTTTAATAAAAGGTATAAGTCACAACTTTTTAAACTATGGATTTCAGAATAGTAATAATGATATACAAAAAGATTTAATCAAAATACATATTTGGCCAAGCCTAAAAAGAAGAATTTTGGCTATATTTAAAGAGCTGTGGTGACACAGTGGTTAGAATGCAGTATTGCAGGCTAATTCTGCTGACTGCCAGCAGTTTGATTCTCATTGGCTCAAAGTTGACTCAGCCCTGCATCTTTCCGAGGTTGGTAAAATAAGGACCCAATTTGTTGGGGGGAATATGCTGACTCTTTAAACTGCTTAGTGAGAGCTGTAAAGCACTGTGAGTGGTATATAAATCTAAGTGCTATTAATGTTATTTGAAAGCTAAACAGACTCAAATTTGGATAGCACTTGGAATGGAGATCACAAGGAAATCCCAGGGTAATAAGTTGGATGGCGGCGGGGGGGGGGGGGGGACAAAATTCTTGAAGAAGACTATAACTAATCATTTACATTGCCAGAAAGGTTGTAAGGGAATATGAGAATGACAGAAGAGAAGGTGGGGAGAAAGGAGATAAAAGAGGGAGGACCCTGGAACCATGTAATGGCAGAGAAGAAACTTAAAAAAGGTTCCATCCTAACTAATCAGGCAGTAAAAATAGTTGGAGGGAGATTTGTATTTTAAGACTTGCAAGATTCTGTTAATATAATCTTATAATAAAGTGGAATTAGTTCACATTGTTATATTTCCTGTCTTGTCTACTTGGGAGCCTGATAAAGCGATATTGATGAGTCTATGTAGTCATCAGGAGTAAAGCTTGGATCAAAGGAGACATTTGATTGGGTGGCTCTAAATCATAACCCCCTAGCAATATTTGTCTAAACTATTTTTCAGCCCAGTAAAAACACTTGGCTTTTATTATTTTCCTTGCAGTGTAGATTTGTGCCATTTTTTTCCAGAACAAACCCACCTGAATCAAAGAATATTCTGAGAATCTGCTTCTGATTCAGAAACACAAATGCAGTAACTGTCTTCTTCAACCCTGATTGAGCACATAGCCCAGAATAAACGAGAAGACGATCTGTTGTTATATAAGAGGTGGAAAGGAAGAAGGCGGCCTTGTATTCCTTTCTCCATTGTCTTTAGTAATGAGTTTATTGGCCTTCCATCCAGCGGTGGTATTTAGCTGGTTCGCACTGGTTCAGGTGAACTGGTAGCAAGGATTTGGCGTGGGTCACCAAACCAGTAGTAACTCCTGGCTGGCCACGCTCCCGACCTGGTTGCCAGTCGCTCACTTGCCCTGCACAACCAATGCTCGCTCATCCCGCCCGCCTGATGCTCACCTCACCCAGTCCCTTCTTAAGGTATTCCTTTTTTTCCCTCCCCAAAACCAGCTGTTCCTACGATCAGCTGTGCTGGGATTCCCCTCGCTTACTTACTGCTTCTCCCAAGAGGCTTCCCTGAAGCACAGAAAGGCAAAAAATGGAGGGGGGGAAAGCCCCCCTTCTCCCGCCCGCACTCCATTTTTTTACATTCCTGGGCCCCAGGGATGCATCCTGGGAAAAAAATGCACCCCCGGGAGGCTTCCCTGAGACACAGAAGGTCCCAAAATGAAGCATGGGGGATGCTGTGTGCCCCTTCCAGGTCCATTTTTTTTTCTTCCTGAGCCCCAGGGAAACTTCCTGGGAGCAAAAACGACCTCCCAGGAGGCTTGCCTGAGGCCCAGAAGCCATGCCCGCCTAGCCACGCCCATCAAGCCACACCCACAAAACCAGTGGTAAATTTTTTTGAATCCCACCACTACTTCCATCCTTTTGAGGTGGGTAAAATGAGGGCCCAATTTGTTGGGGGCAATATGCCCACAGAGAGGGCTGTGGGGCACTGTAAAGCAGTACAGTGGTCTAAGTCCTATTGCTATTAGAACAAGCTGTGGTCTGAATTCATGGTGGCCTCATATCCTCATCGGTATGATGAGGAAACAGATCAGGACACCGATCAGAGAAAGGAATTTTCAGGAGCAAATAAGAACTTTGAATGTCATGATAACTTTCAAAATGGAAAAAAAAAAAGATATACTTCTTTCTATTGCCCAAAGTTTAGACATATGTTCCTTTAAAGATGAACCCAATGGGTAGGACCAGTGTTCATTTTCAAATACTGTAAGCATGGTTGCAATTTTATTTATTTCTTAAAAGCTTTTTACAATGCCAACGCCTGAAGGCTCTCTGTGGTTGACATTTGTAGCCATATTTTAATTTCTGATGATTTTGTCAAAGCAGAGAAGAAAAGTGAAGAAACTGCATGTTTGCAATGGGTATCTGCCATTCATTTGCCTCTAGCCGCTTGCCTGCCTGAAATATTTTAGTAGGACTCTGAGACTAATGTATACTCTTCTTGGTAATTGCTTCAGATTTATATTTGGCTGGCCACTGGGAGCTTTTTCCTGTAATGCATCAAACCTCAGTTGATTTAAAAGGCTATGGCTATTTCACTAGGTTTATCAAATAGCATTTAAAAATAATGTACAAAACCTTTCCAAAATGACATCACTCAAGAAAGGTTAGTGTTTTAATGGAATAAGCTGACTACTGACTATATAACAATAATTCATTTCTTCTCTATCCTTACAGCAACATTCAGGATCTGGAAAGGAAAGTCTGCAGGAAGCATTGAGGTTTGTCCTTACCCAAAGCAGTTCTCCTGTAGTCTCTCAGGCTTTTCAATCATATCCTTCCAGATATGCTGGACTTCAGTTACCTTAATTACTATTTCTAGCCAGTTGAATTAGCTTTGAACGTTCAAGTTTTGAAAGTCAGCTCTTTGGGGGAAATTGATTTAGGGAATCTTAAAGCCTAGCTAGTTACCTTAATTAGTTTGCAACGGAAATCATAACATTTTACACAGCTTTCTCTAGAGAGAATTTATTATTCAAGTCTCAGGATTAATATTGTCCCTCATCATCCTTACTAACCTTGCTTCTTCCTGATCCAAATGGACAAGGTATATGCCAATTTAAATATCAGCACCAACAAACCACAGTTTTAGAAACAAATGGAGAGTTATACTTAGAGGTTTTTTTTTTTTTTTTTAAAAAAAAAACATGAATACAGACCAATCCCATTAAAAACAGTTACTTACCAAACTGTTCCTTTGTTTGTTGATTGATTACATTCATGGCCCAGAGTAGTTTGAGAGTATCCTACAATCAGTAGCAGTGTGAATCTGCTGGATGCTTTGCAGTCCTGCAGTCCTCCTAGGATGTGTAACCTTTGTGTGGGAGCTGGGAGTAAGAGAGGAAAACCAGCTGGACCATGGATCATCACCTGACCTTCTTAAGACATTCTTGGCTGGCATGTGTTATGTCGAGCCAACAGCTGATGCAATTGGACTACATGGGGTTAAATGGAGACACTAGGAAAGGAAAAACACTTATGACATTGAAGGAAACAAAACTGTGGCTGCCTCATCTATTTTACTTTCTCAACAGAAACCAAAGGTTCATTGAATCAGTGTATGAGAATCCAATGACAGTCACTTGCCTTGTGTGGGAGCATGTTTTAATATTTTTCACAGCAAGTAGCAGTACCATATCCACTGCTTTTGAAATAGTTCAAACATGCTCAGACTTGGTTAGTATTGGAAGGGAGATCATTAGGAAATCTCTCACTGTACTTTATATTGGGAAATAGGGAAACAAAAACAAACAAAAGAAAAAAATACAGAAAAAAAAAGACCACAATGGCAATTCACTTCTGTATTGTTATCAAGAATACAACACAAATGCATCCATCTATCAATCAGGAGGTTTCTCCCCATTTGTTTCTTATTTTTGTGATCCTCAAATGGAATTAGATTATGTCTGCAATCCAGACTTCTTTGGATGCCATTTCCATTTTTTCTTGCAGCTGAATGTAATCAGAAGTAATATTCATCAGGTTCTGACCAGTTCTGGAGAACCGGTAGTGGAAATTTTGAGTAGTTCAGAACCGGAAAACACCATCTCTGACTGGAGATTTTACAGTATCCTTCCCCTGACATTCCCATCAAGCTATGCCAACAGAGCCGGTAGTAAAAAAAAATGGTATCCCATCACTGAATGTAATGCAAATGGGCTAGAAAAATAGACTAGGTAAAAATATCTATTTTTTTCTTGTCAGCTTCCTGATTTTGTCATAAGCCTAGGTCTCCAAACTTGGCAAATTTAAGACTTGTGGACAAATATTCAAAGTTGAAGTCCACAAGTCTTAAAGTTGCCAAGTTTGGGGATCCCTGGGTTAAGGATTCCCCACCCTTAACTTTTTATGCCTCTATCCTCCAGTTTTGGCTTTTTGTTTGAAAAGCTGTTTTGCTTCTCCTTTTGAGAGAAAGACTCAAGGTTGTACATATTGCAGTTTTAGGTCTGTTTTATGTGAACAAGAAGACCATTGATGATATATTGGATTTTAACTAATTTACTTCAAAATATTCAGTGAGAACCAATTTGGGAACAATGTCGGTCTGCTTCATCTAATTAGCTTGAGGAAAATCAGCTGCTCCTAGAAGCTTCCTTTAGGAGTTGCTATAGGCCAAACTATAAATGTAGGAGGAGAGATTTGTGAATAAGAGTAGCTATAATTAAAACATTAATTTGAAACTGCTGGGAGAAAAGGGAGATTTGACCAAGATTATAGTTTTCAATGCAAGTGTGTGTGTGTGTGTGTGTGTGTGTATCTTTCCCCCTGTGCTATCTTTCCAATGACTTCTGAGATCGCAACTACCCATGGTTAAATGTACAGATATAATTTGAGTACCGCTTTATTTTATCCTCTAAAGCAAATAGCGGCTTCCAGAAAATGTTTTTAATTAAGGGGATGGTAAAGGGGGAAAGTTCCCTCAGGGCTTCCTGCTGCCAAGGTTACTATGAATACTTTTAAAAAGAAGAGGGAGGGGGGAATATATTCATAGAACCCACTTTGGGAGCCAGACAAATGTTCAAAGTGTTCAGTCTCAGATCATGCCAAATGCACAGGAGTGGCAAGGCTCTATGAAATGCTGAGAGGTGCAGGACAAATTAGCTGAGACGGAAAAAAAGTGAGATGAAATAAACCAGAGAGAGGCAGCAAGAACAACCAATACTCTTGATGGTAGAATATCATTTTTATATTGTTGCTAAAGTAGCTATTCCTCCAAGGGGCACAAAAAGCAAGAAAAGCTGTGTTTGTGAAAGAGGACACCACTGACTGGGGAGAGAGGCAGAATCCATCCCTTAGACACGAATATAAACGCTCAGAAGTTCTTAGAAGTCAAGCATTACTGCAAAATTATGGGGCTGTTTCAGAATTCAAGCTGGTGATGGATCCTGAAAAATGGAATCTGATTGGAATTAGGCAGCTCTTGCTAGAATGGGACAACACACTGCAGCCAACTCACCATGATCATCTCGCCATAGACAACTTGCCACAGACAACTTGCCACGGAACAATTTAACAATTAAATTTAATTATTTAAAATAAATTAAAAAATTATCTTAATTTTTGTCATTCACATTTCATTTTTGTCCCTCCTTTTGCATTCCTTAATGATTCTATTCCACCATTTCTTTGATATTAGTGTAACTCTTGCCCTGCAGTGAGTTGTCCTGTAGTGAATTGGTTGCATCAAGTTGGCCATGGTGATTTGGCCGGGGCAAGTTGGCCAAGACAAATTGTCACAAACTCACAGGACAGCTGGCCAAAGCAAAACAAGATTCTTAAATATCATTTGACCAGATTAGATCATACCACCATATACAAATCACAAACACTTGCAGGTCAGACTGGCCACTATTGATACATCCTCTTCCATCATTGTTGCAGATAAGCATAACTCTGAAGAACATTCTGTGCATTCTATATAAATTCTAACTGACTGGAAGTCATAAATCTTGTTCCCAAATTGGTAGTATCCAATTTGTTTTTCACTGGCATATGTACTGTTGATCATGTTTCTTCAAATTGGTGCCTTTCAATTTTGTTGAACATGATGAGCTGGAGTGGCAACTGTATTACTACTTGCCCAAGTGACCACTTTATTAATAATATAGCAATGTAGACAGAATCTATTTACTGTAGGTGGGCATGGGATGTTGCAAGTACACAAACAGCTGAAAAAGAAAAAAGGGCTTGATGGTACTGATGAAAAGGTAATTAAAAAACTGTATGGACATCTATTAGAATTTAAACTGGAAGAAGAACAAGTTAAAGAAACGATGATTGCTTGGGGGAAATTTTTTTGATATGGGATTGATTTAGAGAGGTGGCAAAAATTGTGGTCTCAAAATTATAAAATGACAATGTCAACTGCACATAAAGAAAATTTGTATAAGATGTTTTACAGGTGGCATCTACCCCCGACGAGAATTGCGAGAATGTTTAAGAATAAATCGGATAAATGTTGGAAATGTCATCAGATACCTGGCTTATATTACCATATGTGGTGAACATGCTCGGATGCAAAAAAATATTGGACTAAAATCCACACATGGTTGGAAAAAATGATAAAACAACACATCTCTTTAAACCAGAGATTTTTTTTATTGGGAATTATATCGGAAATATACAATAAAGAATTGAAGTATTTGATTGTAAATGTTTTAACAGCAGCTAGAATTGTGTTTACTAAGAATTGGAAAAATGATAAAATACCTATGCAGGAGGAAGTTATGAAGAAAATTATGGACTGTGCTGAAATGAGTAAATAGACATTTGAAATTAGAGAACAAGAAGATAAACAATTTTATATCATATGGGGTTTGTTTTATCAATGGTTGGACAAAAAGACATGGTAATATAAATAGATTCGTTGATTTTGTAATAGGTTTAATAGATAGATATAAAATATAATATAGACATATATAACCATTGGATGAAAGTATAACATATTTTTTTTAAAAAAATTGAAATATCTTGTATAAAGTGATAGAATAAATAGTTTGGTCATGGATGATTAATAATTGATAAGCATATAAGTATATGTTAGCTTGATAATGTGCAAATTTATATAAATTGAGAAATGACTACAAAAGGATAGCACAAAAGATTTGTAACCAACTGACACAGTGTATGTATATAAGATGGAAGATGGTTTTTATGTTTTGTTTGTTTATGTTTGTCTTTAAAAAATAAAAACTTTTTTCAAAAAAAAAAAGAAAAAAGGGCATTGGAAAAATATCTGAAGAACAGTGAAGAAAATACATTGAAGCTAGTACACCATGAAGGCTTGACTACCAAAAAGACTAAACTTGCCTATAAGAAAGATGAAATGAAAAATAGAAAAGAAACATGGCAAGGCAAAATGCATGACCAATGCATAAAAACACTAGCAAGGAAAGCAGATAACAATAGAACTTGGAAATGGCTAAGAGCAGAAAAGTTGAAGAAAGAGACAGGAGAGTTAATTCTGGCAGCACAAAACCAAGCTTTAAGAGCAAATGCATATAAATACAGACCTGAGAAGACAGCAATAGATAGCAAATGCCATCTCTGTAAAGAAATTGAAGAAACAGTGGACCATCTTATTAGCTCCTGCAAGAGAATGACACAGATTGACTACAAACAGCAGCATAACAAAGTAGCAACAATGGTGCACTGGAATATCAGCAACAAATACCATTTGCTTGCAAGCAAGAACTGATGGGACTACAAAACAAAGTAATAAAAAATAAAGAAGCTAAAGTGCTCCAGCACTTTATAATTCAAACAGAGAAGCATCTGTCATACAACATTCCAGATTTAACAATTGTTGATAAGAAAGACAAAAAACTCTTGATAGTGGACTCCAGTCTCTGGAGACAGCAGAAGAGAAAGAACTGGTGAAAATTACAAAATACAAAGATCTGCAAGTTTTTGAAGTAGAACAAGTCTGGCAAAAGAAAGCAAAATAGTATCAAAAATAATAGACTCCTTGGATGCAATCCCAAAACATTGGGAGCACCATTTGAACGCTATTGTCATTGGCAAAATTACCATCAGTCAGGTAGAAAGGCAGCTTCAGTTGGAACAGCTGATATCCTGCAATAGTACCTTTAATAGTGTTCAACAACAACATTTACCAACATTTACCAACAATATTTACCAATCCCAGGTCCTCATAGGTGGACAAAAATGCCAAATCCAATCTGCAGATCTGGCTGACTGCGTGACCAACCATAATAATGTTATAGATGTCCACTCTGATAGACGCTGAGTGACTTACACAATCCAAAATAAATAAGCAAACGATACAGTTAAAAACATGCACATTTTAAAGGTTT